AAGAGAACTTGTGTCAATTAAAAGACCAGGAATTTATAAATTGAGATCCTTCTTGGATGGTTTGTTGCTTGCAACGCCAACTCAGAAGTAGGGTTACATTAGGAGATGGATCATTCCAGGTCGCAGCTCCGGCACTTTGGAATGCGTTACCGCGTGAGATTCGCTCTATGACATATCTAGGGATTTTTAAGTGCCACCTGAAAACGCACCTCTTTAATTAAGGAAGCTTTTTATTAATTTTTATCAAAATTTTATCATGATAGTTGCTAGTATCTTAACATAAGTTTTATGCTTTAATTTTATCATAGTATATTTTTAATAAATATTGAGAGGTAATGCGCGCTTGATCATTTAATGGAAAGCGCGCAATATAAGAATTAAATTATTATCATTATTATTATGATGATGATTAATCCTTTTCCTTCAACATATTATTTACTGACATACCTGAGAATTTGTCGGTGAGTGTTGGTTATATATAGAGCTGCTCTGTGTTTCATTTTCCTTGTACTTAGTGACAGCCATTTGGTAAAGGGACCAACTCATCATTGGCGTGATCATCCAGTCTTCTGGGTACAACTGTTTCAACATGTTGTCCAGTTGGATGCGGTATCCTTTCTTCACACCCATCCTGTTAGTCTCGTCATCATTGAAAAAGTTCAGGTACATTGGACGGTCGAAGTCAAACTTATAAGCGGCATCTATCTCTGTTTTCCTCACATTACGTTTTAGAACCTTCTGAACACGTCGTCTGTTGGGAAACCAGCGCTCAGTGATGTTTTCGATTCCAATTTCAATGGTCTCGAAAGAGTTCGTACGCCCGCCAATGTCCAAGTCCACTTTGTAATTGATCAGGTGATCGTGTGTACCACTTGTGAAATCTTTATGAAGGGGGTATGCGTATGGGTCCATATTTGAGTCATAGAATGCTCCATAGACGTACCCAGAGGCTGACATTTTAACTTCTATGACACCGTTTTGGTAAAATAAGAAGTCAAAAACATAGTCATAGTTATACAGCGTCGCCACAGAACGCAGAACTAAAACTTGGTTGGCCATTCCTCCGTAGAAGTTGTAACCATTGTAGAAGTTGTTATCATAATGTCGGCGAAGTGGCGTTCCGGTGTTTAGTTCAAATACACAGACGGCGTTTCGGACAGTCGTTGGTTTTTCATACATGTGCACTAGGTCAAAAAATGTTGCGGAGTAGGGACAATCCACACCACGAACCAGCTCCATGCTGTATGCTCCCATTCCCCAGCCTCCATCGAGGAAGTTATTCCACGAAGGGGCTGGATAATAACCTGTATATGTTGCAGCTGCTTCTTGAAGACTGAGCTCGTAAACAATTCTCTCTCCGTTGAATTTTATATCGTAGATCTGCATGCCACTGTTGGAGTCCATTCTGAAATGGAAGGACCACAACATGTAGCTGACATGGCGTCCGTTAACGGTGTAACGTTTTCCATCGGGCTCGTATTGTTCTGGTCCTCTCATTGGCGTGGATGGCTGGGGATCTCTTCGACGTTGATAGCTCGAAAACAAGGCTTCCTTGCCCTTTGGTGCAGGAACAAAAATTTTTTTGATGGTGTTGTTCTCATATTTGGCCGCTAACTCATCAACAGAGTCAAAAGTCTGATTGTTGTAAACAACCTTGAGGATTTTCCATTTTTTCATGTCTGTTCCTCCGATATCTAGTGACAACGACAAGTCAAGTTGCCCTGTCATGTCACGTTTGAAATTAACCCAAGTAATGCGATCATCGGCAGTAAATCCCATCGGAGAAGTAAAGTCAAGTTCAAGGCACTTTGGTTGCACGCAATCTTTAAGGGAGAAGCCGTCGTAGCTCTCTTTCATCAGCTTTTCGAGTTTTGCAGTGGCATAATAGATATAGGAAGAAAATATATTTCTCGTGCGAGTATCAAAAGGCCGAGCATTGAATGTCACGAAGTCTTTCTCCCCACCAGGAATCTTTCTTGCAACGTGCCCAGTAGGTTTTGAAACAGGGCTGACTATGTATTCTCTGACAAGCGGAGGATTGGCAGCGCCATGAAACACCACCCCCACAGCTTTACGTTCGGGCTTGGCGCCATTGTTATCCAGATGTTCTAAAGCCTCGTTCTTGGAAGGTGGAAGAAACTGTATCATGTAGATGTAATTGCTGTCGACTGATGCTTCGGTAGCCTCCGTTAGGTTAAGTGAAGCTTGCTTCACCAGATATTCTTTAACAGTGGTGATTTCTTGGATTGTTAGATCGTCGAAGAGACCTGAAGACTTAGGTGGGTCTGCGGGTTGATCACCCATTCCATTTGCACAGTTTCCTACCTGGAAAACTGTATCTCCTTTGGAATTTTTAGCAGGCTCACGGTCACTTTTTGATTTCTTTGTTGCTACCACAATCAAAGCAATCAATAACGCTACACTTATAACAATGAAAACGATGGCCAGAACCTTCCACACCACGGGTGCTGTGGTAGATGCACGATTGGATTTCTTCTTGATCATAGGATCGCCTGTCTCCATGACGATAAAAGACTTTGACCTATAAAAACATTCAAAAGGTGAGCTGATTCGTACTGTAGCGTGCCCTCAAGCGACACTGAAATATGCCAATATATACACTTAAGGCTACTTCATAGCATGAGGCTGTATGTGCATTTGAAGATCACTGTTGGAACGACTTAAAAATTTCTATCCGCTTCATTGAACCTCTGCTGAGAGGCATTAACATCTCGTTTTCCATGAGACACAAATACGTCGTTATTTTTCAAAAATCCTGGTATTGCGTGAAAGGTTTTGTCTGTCTCTTAATCCTGATGCAGACGAAGCAGTTATTAGACGCTTTATGTCCATTTTTAATAAAACAGCCTCTATGACATATCTAGGGATTTTTAAGTGCCAC